CTGATATTCCGTCATGTCTTCTCACGTGTCTGCCCGGTCATATCAGCTCGGCGCTCTCATGTAGAATGTCGAGCGCACTCGCGGCCTCGTTTCGCCCGTTTCGTACTGCTTTTAGCAAATGCGATAGTTTACATTGGCGAACGTCAACTTCCTGGGCACGTGGCTCGCGAGGAAGAGAGTCGGAACGGAGAGAAAAAGAGTGATAAAGAGCCATACCTATTCTTACGATCCCTCCCTCGTGGTAATCGCTACAAGCGCCGCTAATTTCACATCAAAGAGAGCCATTTAATTGCGTATCGTAGTAAATCAATTTTTTTTCACAACACTTGTAATAGGAAATAAAGTCAGTAAATTCGTTACGTTAGGATAAATCGATTAAATCTAATCTATCTAAAATTCTTACTTTCATTTCACTTATGAAAGATCGGGATTTCCTCCCTCGTGAAAGGATGTAAAGAATATATATGTTAAAGGATTGCAAAATGCAGTCCATTTTGAAACGGTAAATAGATAATCGTCTCGAGCCGACACCGACTCGGCTCCCGTCAATCACCATGTAAGAGAGGCGGAATGGTGGCAGTTTACTTTGGTGCGTACCAAGTTCCTCGCCACATGCTTGGAGAAGCCGAGGGAAACGTAATAGAGCGGAAGGGTGAGCCGGGGCGGAAGAGAAGCCGAAGAGCAGCACGAGGGAACGTCACGTTACGTTCCACGGCGGAGTGACGTTTCTAATGCGAAACTAAGGAATTAGAACAGTCGCGCTGTCTAATGAGATACTAATTGCGCCGCAATTCTCGTTGTATTGACTCAACCGGGAATCAGATAAACATAACTCCCCGACCAAGGGAAAGTGAAACATGTCCGTGAGATTTAATCAAACTGCTAAATTCACCATGAACCAGGAAGCGGCGAGTCTGGATAGAGAGGAACGATTGAAGTGAATCTATTAAAGTCGGTGTCTGTTGAGAAGGGATTTATGAGCGATCCGGAATGACTCCGGTGAAACTGCACTGACTCTGTGATATTTAATCAATTTATATTTTTAGAAAAATAAGAAAGCGTTATAACTTAAGTTTAGATGAAAGGTGATCGGAAATTAAAATACTCCTAGCTTATGCAACAGGAAAACAATCAAGTGATTATAAATAAGCGTAAAAGATAATTTCTCTTTGGCAAATACTTCGGTAGAGCTTGTAACAAATAAGTGAAAAGAGATATATTACGATGATAGAGAATGCAAAAATATAAAAAGATAAACCGACTTACGATTTTAATCATTTTTCATAAACCGGTCAAAAATGTTAAAATTATTTACTTTAGAAGAACGAATCGCGTGGGTTAAATATTAAACCGTTGCGTTCGACAAAAATCGCTAGGAGAAATATAATCTATGGTAGCACCGTTAATCATGGTGCTCCTCACACGCGCCTATCTCGTCGCGCTCAACGAGGCGAGATAATGTCGTGCATTTGAAAATAAGGTGGAACAAACCGCGCGGATAAATAGCATGGTGGAGAAAACGCGAAAACGCGCGTCGCGTGTTAACGCTCGCGCGACCTTTTGCACGTGAGGAGGAAACCGCGTGCGAAACGGATTACGTCTCAACTCCACCGTCCCTTTAACATCTTATCTTCGTAGAGCACGAGCGTACAACAAAGTAATCGCGCACGACGAAATGCTCTGATAAGAGCCACACCTGTATATACATTTTGCTAAACGATAAATTTTTCACACCCTGAACCGTGATGATTAGCGAAGCTAAAGGACCTTAAAGAGATAGCAGATCGGCGTCGTGAGAGTTGGATCGAAGCTTAAAGCGCCGAAAGTGCCTCCTATTATGTTGACGAGGCCGTGATCGCGACGTCGGCCTTCTTGAGATGAAAACCCGCGGGGCTTACGTGATCGCGAGCGATCGCGAGCGTTAACGCCGTATCCGATTACGAGATGTGTATCTACGGACGGCGCGGTTTAGGGCGGAGATCGGTCGTTAAATCGCGCAATTCTCTGGACGATGCGCAAGATGCGACGTGTGCACACGTGCACACGTGCACGCGGGCAGTTTGCGTGAAACGCCGATGCGTGAAAACGTTTACCCCCGTCGTCGGGAAAGAGGTTCGGAAAGTGATTCGCCGGCGTGAGACGCGACGATCGTACACGTCGTCGTTTACGAGGAGCCGTAATTGCCACAATCCGCAACGGTTCATTCGAAATGAACTCCTCTCGCTCGCGACGTCGCGAATTCACTGATTAATGATATTTAAGCGGCATATCGATGTGCATATCGGCATCGTAACTATCTCGCGCGTTGCGTCAGTCGCGAATCGGCTCGAGAACGAGCTCAAAACTCGTGCGAATTCACGCGTTTTTAATTCAATTAATCGCCATTACATCGATCATCCAGAATACCTTTGCTACGAATAGAACGGCGTTATTCAGCATAAAGTTACGATATCTCGTTTATAACACGGGAATGAAAACGTTAATAATTTTCCTGTAAGATGATAGCTCATAAATCGGTAATCATAAGGTGGCCTCAAAGCTAAATCATGCGTGTCGGTATAAATCTACTCACTTGTCATGTTTAATAAATTCTACACGATCTTCTCTTTTTTCCCTTTTGATTCGTTTCTTGTTCACATTTGCTCCGTACTTTTCAAGGATTTCGAACATTCGATGTCGATAATTCATCTTTGCCGCAAACATCTTGCAACGTTGGAAGCTTATGAAAAATAGTGGTTTACATACATATTATATAAAAACAGAGAAAATTTTTCAAGTCGTCAGATATTTTTGCTTCGCTGTAATTCTGCGATTAAGCTGCAATTTTCTCTGGTGGGCATTTTCTTCGTGAAATCCGAACATTTTTTTATAACAAGTCACAAATATTTATCATACACAGATATACTTGGTGACGCGAACTAATCACGCTCTTATATTTCCCTTCATATTTCTGTCGAAAGGCAAGACGTAAAACGATATGATCGCCGTGACAATCGGTGATCTACGAGATAACTCGGTACGCGTAACATAATAATTAATAACGGCGCGAGCGCATATCAAGTCCTTGTACGAAGCGAGAGAACAATGAATATGTCGCGCGCGCGTCATCGTGGTGGTTTGTTTCGTCGTCCAACCGGCTCGTGAAGTTGTACACTTCACACGCTTATCCGCGCGTTAACTCGGGTCTCGATGTACATATATTCCCCTCCCCCCTTCCTCCTCCCCTAATCGGGGACCGATGTAATTCCGATATGTAACGTAATAATAATGCGACGAGCCGATAAAGATCTTAACAGTACCGGTCACGCCTACAACACACAAGACACGACGCCGATGTGTAGCAATACGGCGATCGTGACTGCGCGTTGGAGCGCAATGATCCTTGCGAGGTGACTTTTCTCCCGAGATAACATCAGCTACACGAAAACTAAATGGCAAACGATCATTGGGAGATTATAGTTCCTGTTTGGCCGCGTTGGCAGTTGGATCCAGTATGGATCGTTTTCTAAACCCTTTCATGCGCGATTCGAAGTGAACTAGCGATATCTTTTTTTGCACGACGCGACCAATACGCTCGAGACGTTGTACACGTGAACAATGTTAAAGTTCACATTTTGATTTTACGCTTGTTTTTTTTTTAAATATTGATTTAACTAATTATAGACTCACAGAAAAGTAATAAATAGCTGCAATTGACGTTATAACATTAAATAATCGCTTCTTACGTAATTGATCGTTTCGCGAAGAGAATAGGTGACGAAGTCAGGAAGAAAGACGGAAGATCGAAAGCAAATACAAAAGACGAGAGGGATAAGAAAGGGGCGGTCTTGTCGGTAAGAAACCGGTACTTGCGCATCGACGGCGAACGATGCAATGAAGCTATTAATCGTCTCTTCGAGCTACGCATTACTCGTAAATGTCGTCTGCTCGTAATTTTTGATGCTTATTATCGCGAGAACTGAACCTCTTTCGCGAAAGGAGATTTTAATATTAAAAAGAAAGATTCTTCTGCTTCATCTAAATTTTAAAGATCTGATGTTTTTATAGGTTTAATATAAAATTTCATTTTGCTAAAAATTTTAAATAAATCTTTCAAAGTTTACACTTCAGAAGCCAAATTATTCGAATAACCGTTTAGTAACGTTACATCTATCATGAAAAGATACACGATTATTGGAGTTATGTAACAATAACGATTGCGCCAGAAAGTATTTTTACATATGGAAGCTCGAAGATGAGACGCATTAATAATGTTTCATACTGAAGAGTCGTTTAAGAAATATCGGTTGTGTTCAGGACGGTGCTTAATGTAAAGATACACATACCGCGTGTTTAAAATCGGCTGATAGTTAACAGACATAAAGGTAGCGCGAGGAAAAGGGACGGAGAGAAACAGCGATAAAGAGAAAGAGACAGACAAGGCCGCGCCTTAATGGAAACGAGTTAACGACCCGTAGAAACGTAAACGCAGTCACGTACTCGAGTAACGATCGACGAGTGACCAATCAGAGTGATCATTATTTATGGTTATGGGTATAGCCGCGGATTCAGTGGTTACTTTTCGTACAGTTCTGTGGATTAATTCGAGAACACACTTAACGAAGATCTCATCAGAGATTTCCGGACAACCGCGCAAAACAAGCGATATTTATAATAACATTTCAAGCAAATAAAAACTCTTGATTATAAATATATTTTTGTCTAAAGGAACAACGTCAAAGTGAAGAACATCGATTCAATAAGATAAAAAGTGAAGGTTAAGATGAACTTGTATTTGCTCGAAATTAACTTAAATCGTAGAACCCACTTGAAATTCCGTATTCCGATAAATGTCCAAGGCTTATTTATTTGTATTAACAATATCTATGTATAAGATGTATTAATAACGGATGACATTGCGTGCACAAAGAATTAAATGGATAAATGTAAAATGTGCATTCGATGAAGTTGTTCGGAAGGACAGGAGTTTTAATCGGTATGTTTTTCTTTTTTGTTCTCAGGACGAAGTAAGTAACGACCCACGGCGGTTACGAGCCGTACTCGGGCTAGACGAGACTAATGACGAAATGGCAGCTCGGGGAACGTGAGCTTTTCTGAACGAAGCCATTAATATGCTTATTGTGTAAGCTTGCCCGGTGCTCGATCGCTGGCATGTCTGCATTAAATCGATATCTCAATGACGCGTATGGATATCCAGTGGTTTGCAATCAGATTGATCCATCAAAGTGTAAGACGACAATAACTTTCAACTTCTCTCTGTGATTCATATTGTAATTACATAAATAATATTAATTAATATAAATTAATTCACAGTCACGTTGGAAAATACATTGGCGATTGCCCATTTGTTATTTGAGAAGATGCTACTTTTTTACTTTTATGAATACCGTCTACTGTTTTGTTAATTATTAATTAATTTTTCATAACTTGCTTTTTTATTTCCAATCCATTTTCTTCATTTATCCGTTTTCTCTACGTGCGCGGAATCGATGTGACACATTTGAGATTAAAGAGAATTAGAACCTTCCTTAGAAACGCACCGCCATAAACCACCTTTTTCGTCGCGCCTCGTTCTGATTCAGTCTAGTGCTTTTGAAATACCATCACGACGTTGACGCACGCCGGCAGAGAGAGATACAACTGCAGATCGCAAAAACCTTGCAACGTAAATAATTCGAAAATGTGGGTTACAGGGCTATCGCTATGCCGCTCGCGATATACCGCGGTATATATTTGCTCGCGGCAAGCGCGGAAAATACATAAAGCGGAATCCGCGGCCTGGATAACGAGAGCCGACGCGGAGTCAACGTCGGGCCTTAAAACTGTCAATCGGGAGCTACGAGCGAGCTGAAGGCTCGCGACTCGCGAGAGCACTCGTAATTCTCGAGAGTCGAGAATGACTCGGGGAGAATCGAGGAGACCTGCCCGTGCTCGGCTCCGTGTCGACACGCTTAGCCTCGTTTGTCCCAAGTAATGGCCGTAGTCATAACTCAAGCGGCTCCGAGCTCGCTCCTATACTATGTATCCCGACGCACATATCCGGACAAGGACGGGACGATCGGATTCACGGAAAGAACAAGTCGGCTCTCGCGAGTCTATCCGCGGTCGATCGCCTCGAACGTTCCATTCCGATTCGCGACGAGAAACGCGACGTTTGATCGGCCAATCTTCGTGTTTATTTTTGTTCGAATGCATCTCCCGTCGTTATCCGATGTATTTCACATTTTACCACGTTCTACGCTCTTGAAACACACTGTTACCTACAAGTTACCATATATATATCGGAGATATATATTTAGGAGAATGTCGCAATGGGAAAACATGATAGATTATCGAATCGGAATTCAAAAGATTTATAAGATTATCCTTTTGACACAATGTAGGCTAGGGAGCCATTTGCACTTTTATTTGCATGGCTAGAATCGTCATGAGCCGCTTGCGCGGCTAATTGGTGAAAATTGAGTGAAGTGCGTCTTTGCCGACTACATCGACTTAACGACTTAACGACGGCGTTCTCTTCCTTCGTATCATTTTATTAAACGTATCAACTCGCTGCCTTTTAACGACAGTATCATAATTATCGGCGATAAATTTCGTAAGACTGATTTAATGCAATGTGTTTGTTACCGAACTGACTCGGTCTTTAATGTAACGAAAATGACGATAGATTTGTTTTACTTTAATTAACGCATATCTTTGTATCTGTGACATTGTTTTTCAAAATAATCAACAGATCGTCTTATTTAATATCATCTTTGCAATAAGCCAGGATTATGGAAATTATATTCTCAGGGTTTGCGAGACTGCAAAAAAGTCGTTTTTTGTAACAAATCTCGATTAAATGTGCTCCATTAAAATGTAACAATCACTTACTCCCTGTCTCTCACGCGACGAAAACTTATCATTAAGTTGTCAATGCTAGACTACCGCCGTAATCACCCGATGACATCGGTCGACGGGAAAGAGAGGAGAGAACCGCCTTTAGTCATGAATACTTAAATGACTCAAACATACGCGCGGGTTTTTATTTGGGCAACTTTGTATAATCAGGTTGTATCGCGTTTCGCGCAGATCCGGCAAAATTGCGTGACGACAATTTTCAACTTCGCCGAAGATGTTGATCGCGCGCAACTGAACGAGATGACTGAGCGAGCCAGGGTGTCATTGGTAAGCGAGGTACGTCGTTTCGCGTTTGTCGAGGACGATGCAATTTGTTTGAAGCCGTACGACATATCTCGCCTACGGCCACTTAATCGTACACGACTTATCTGAAAAACGTGTCTGAAGTGCAGCTAGCCGCGGCACCGAAAGATTCCCTCGATGCACCTCTGGGTGCATCGTCTACCACGATTGCCGAGTCTCATTGTATCGCAGACACGGTCTATAAGGAGAACTTGGTTCATAAACGCTGTAATTATCGCGTCACGAGTGACGTTAGAGACGTTAAAGATCCGCGGTAAAGGAAGAAAGGCGCGAGACTCGGGCGAAAGCTGCGTCGTCGAGAGGTTTACGATTATTATTGGTTTACGACTGAATTCTGAAATATTCTCGACGTATTGTTTTCGTACTTTCTAATTCTACTAGATGAAATTACAGTTTAACTTTCTACATTCAGATTTCTCGCCTTGGGTCTGATAATTTATCTTTACGGATTGATTGAAAGATGGACACACGAATACGTTCAAAATGTTCAAGCATTTATTAATCTCGTCGACGTGCATTTTATTAATCTCATCGCGTGGCATATCGAACATCCTATTACACCGTTCGTTGTAAAATACCGTTTCGAATTTAACGTAAACGTTAGCGACGCGCATTTCGCTCTCCGAACACGATCGTCAGCCATTTGCTCTCCGCGCGGAATCCTACTAATTTACAGATTATTTTTAACGAATTCTAGACACCGCTCGTCCTTTTTATTCTTCGTTGCGTCTCCTTCGCGTTTCTGCCGATACGGATGTAATTAAAAGCAACGTGACAGGCAAGTCGAGCGGCAGACTCGAAAGGGCGATCACCAGGACATATAGCGTTGCTATTCGTTACGCGAGAATCGCCCGAAGGGGAAACTAGAGGCCAGTAGCTGACATCTATCTCAAGAATAGAACGAGAAAATTAGTAGTGCGGTCAATTGCCGATGGACAAGCGATCTTATATTAAGCTTTACGCTTTGTCTCGATAATTTTAACGATACTTTTTTTTTTCATTCTTTTGACGTCGAGAAATCGAATCTTGCTTCATATTTTACAATAGAATTATTCATATGCAAATAAATAATTGGCGTGATGTTTGTTTAAATCACTCAGTGCCTTTCTTGCCGTAACAATCAAATTGATTAGCAATATAAATGTCACGTCTCGCTACTCGTACTCGCTATCCATGCATGCTCGATTGTGCAGCGAAAAAAATGCAATTAAACTGACAGACCAAGCTACGAGCTGACGTCTATCTCTAAGTGTGGGACAAGGAAATTAGTGTTTCTCCGAGGTCGCACGTCGCCCCGAGGTATTCACGCCGAGATACTTTTGGGGTTGTGCTTAGCAAGAGAGGGCGTCTTAGCATTATTGGTTTTACCCTCGAGTCTTTGGAGAGGGATTACCGGTAAGTAAGGGAAGGGCGAGAATGAGAAGAAGCGAGAGAGAGAGAGAGAGAGAGAGAGAGAGAGAGAGAGAGAGAGAGAGAGAGAGAGAGAGAGAGAGG